TTGTTTGCGGGGGGGGGGTGGGGTGTGGGAAGTGTTTGGTATTTTTGGATAAACTATCTGGCAACCCTATGGGGAGGCAGAGGGCTCGCCAGGCGGGGGTCCTGTGCCCGGCAGCTGAAACCGTCGGAGCTGCTCGGTGATCAGAGCCGGGCACGGCACGCTGGCCGGGCACCAGGGCAAGGCTGGAGGGCCGGGCTGGGGGCAGATGTCTTAGGATGGGCTGCCCTTCAGTGACTCCTTGGGGTTTAGGAGCAGCTGCCAGGCCAGGGAAAGGCCTGGAGTGGGGCAGGAGGGGGCATGCCAGCCAGGTTGGCCCGTTGGGGGGAATCTGGCTGGCACATGCAGGGTGGCAGGGCCCCAGGGACGACCGCCCTGGGCGTGGCCCGTCGGTGGGTTTAACCCCCTTTCTCCCACGCTGTTCCTAGTGCTCTTATTAAAGCCGGCTTTGGGCAAACAGCAGCCTGGTCACTGCGTCAGGGCCCGGAGCTGCAGGGCTGGGCCCAGCTGGACCTGCCAGGGATGCAGGGTGGATCCAGGGGCGGTTCTGGTAGGGGGGGGTGTAAGAAGCCCGGTAACCATGGCAACCATCGTTGGGGAGTCTCACATAGATCTTGGATGTCAGCTGGCACCGGAGCAGGGGCCAAAGGGCTTGAGTGGGGGTGCGGGGAGCAGGACTCCTAGGTTCTGTCCCTAGGAGGGGCGGGCTAATGGTTAAAGCAGGGGGCTAGGAATGAGGACTCCTGGCTTCTGGTCCTGGCTCTGCCACAGACTCACTGCATGTGACCTTGGGCAAGTCACTTCCTTGCTCTGTGTGCCTCAGTGTCCCACCTGCCACATAATGAGAAGAACCCTGTGGGCTGTGACCACCACGTTTTTGAGGGGATGTTCAGCCACACACACCAATACGCCCCCCTCCGACTTCCCCCTCCCACATTCAAAAGTGTACAGGGAGGAGGGGTTGTTTCCCATTTCTCCCTCCCCCCCGTGCCCCACCCAGCTGGGCGCTCGGTGCTGAGCGAAGCAAACCCATTATCCTGGCCGCTTGCAGGCCTGGCAGATTCTCGCCCGCCCAATGGCACGGCCCCGCTAATCCCCTGCGGCTTGGGGGAATTAGCGCCTGTTAAGCTAGCGCTGAGTAAACCTTCCTGGCAAACAACTGGGCCCATTGAATGGGCTGCAAAGTGCTGGAGAGACAAAATCCTGGGGGTGGGAGGGGCACAGCGCGGGCCTGATCCTGCCACCCCTGGGGGACTGATCCGCGGGTGGTCCATATGGGAATGTGGTTTGATCTCTGTTGGAGGGGTTCTGGTGCCTGTTGGGGTCAGGCTCCCTGCTCTGGCCCCTCCACTCAAAGGGACCCGAGTCGCCTGGCTCCTTGCCAGAACCCAGCCCTGGCAGTACCGCGGGCACTGGGTGCTGCGGGGGTACGGCTAGCCCAAGTCATGCCCAGAGGGTAGCTAGAGCCCCACCCGGGGGTCTCCAGAGCAGGGGCAGCCCTTGGGGTTTTGTGTCCAGGGCAGGAAATATTTTCAGAACAGACAAGAGCAAAAAAGTCTGAATTTGGTCCCCCCGGATGCTGATGTGGGGCCCCCAGCTAGCACTTGGGGCACGAGCCCCGAGACATGGCGTGGGGCGGGCAGGAAACACAAGGGGCAGGCAGCAGGCAGGGCCCCGGGCAGGGGGGAGGAAAGCAGGTGTAGATGGGGAGGACAGGAGTAGCACGGGGGCTGTGGATCAGCATGGGGGGGCATCAGCAGAGCTGGGGGGGAGCCCAGCTGCAGAGCTGCATGAGGAAGCTTGCCCACCCCCCGCCCCATGCCACGGCCCTGGCAGCCACTGTGCTGCCCAGTCCAGGGGGGCGGCAGGTTGAAAGTTGGTTTTTCCTCACGTGGTAGAGACGTTGGTCTGATGCCCCGAGGGGCTCGGATACCCCGGGTTGGGGATCAGAGACAAAGAGCCAGCGGCCCCCAGAAATCCCAGGAGGGTCTGTGCTCCCCCAGTGCTGCTCCAGAGATCCCAGTCCCCCTTAGCCCAGTGGGCATTACAGCCTCCCCCATCTTGGCCTGGCTCCTGCCTCCCTTCCCCCCCCCCCCCCCCCCCACCCCCCCCACCACCG